AAGGAGAGATTTTTTCAAAGGTTTAGTTTTAGTTGTACACTTGAATTTGAGATATTTTCATTGATTACCATGGATGAGGATATTTTGAATCACTACTGTGTTGTGCGTACTCTGGGAATAAAGTTAATGTATTATTGGTTACAGTGGTTGAATATGCTATTTTAATAAAATATTGAAACTTATATTTCCTAGTTTGAGGGTTTCACTGTGGGCACTTCTCTGGCATTACACATCCATGCATTTATTGTATATTAGTTAGAGAGTAACAGTCTGTAAATAACCGTCTCAAAGGTAATAGCGTTGGTTTTTCCTTGCTTGTCTCTAAATAGATATGTAGGAAGGGCTGCAGGATGTCTGTTGGAATAGATCAGACAAAGCCATCATGATTTATTCCAGTTCAGGTAATTGATAGTGATGCAGGAGTATAAGATTTTCTTTAAACTGCAGAGTCTTAACTTCCAGCCTCTCTAACTGAGGAAATGTTTCTATTTTAAGCAGTTATTGAATTGCCAGTAAGTGCTTTTGACTTTGATAACTATGTCTGTCCTCTTAACAAAAAAAAAAAAAAAGAACAAAAAAAAAAAGACAAACAAGCACAAAAACCCCAAACAAACACAAAAATCCAGTTCCCCTTATTTTTAATAGTTCCCCTTTATTTTTAACACCTAAGACTGGACACCTGGGGGGGGGGGCAATTGGCAGAGGGTTTTTAAAAGGCGTTTTAGCTTAGTGCCACTCAGAATTGAAAATCCTAAATCTCATCAAGCAAAGTGACTTGACTTTATCTCATTTAAGCTTGATGTTTCATTAGCTTTCGAGTGTCTCTAGGTTGATGGTCAGAGCGGGAGGACCCAGGGCAGAGTGAGAGCAGCGCGGTATTTAGGCCCCCTGTCCGAGCGTGCCTCCTGGTGCTCACAAGCCTTGGAGTCCCCCCCCAGGCTGTCTGGGAAAGCTCCCTGGGACGCCAGCAGCGATGGGGCTGCTGTGTGCGTTGGTGTGCCCTGCCTGGACCCGGTCTGCAGTGATCCTTCTAAGACAAAACAGTTTCTTCCCTGCTCACACGCGCAGGTTCTCCTCCAGCGGCAATCTGCCACGCCACTGCGGTGGGGAGCCAGGGAGAATTTTCCTGTCTGGACTCAGAGGTGGAATTTAGGTATGTTCCACATTGCCTCCACCTCTTTGCAGCTCAGCAGCTTGAGGCCTGCTTTATGCTGGAAGCCTTTTTCTGGGTACTTGATCTGGGCATTTATTCCACATGCAATTGCCTGAAAAGCACACCGTGGTGTGCCTGCGCCAGACGTGCCTGGAACCTGTCGTTACCGATAGGCTCACGAAGCACAGCCTCTCCCTGTGCTCAAAACCACAGCTGGATGTATGTGAAAGTAGTGCCCACTGCTTTAATAGTTCTGTGGTGAGAACTGTTAGCCAGCTCCCGGCACGGTGTTTTTAACCCCTGAGCTCTAGATGGTATTTGGGGGAAGGTGCTCTTTCCCCTTGTATTTTTGCAGATTGCGCCGTTGGATGCCAGAGCAGCTGTGAAGAGATGGTGCACAAAGGCGCGACTCCAGTCCTGCGTTTAGAGCAGCCATTGAGAATCAAGGGGAGCTGTGGGTGCCAGCTGTTACTTCCAGGGCTGGTTTTCATTTAATCCAATGACTTCAGTGCAAAATATGTAAACTACACTGGAAGAAGCATGCTTCTGGAGACTAGCACAAAATGTGTATTCTCCAAGAGGAGAAAAAAAAAAAAAAAAAAAATCCCTCAGGAAGTCTGAACGTTTGGATACTACAGATACGAATTTAAGAATTTTAAAGCTTTTTAGGTTACTTCACAGCCTGACTTCCTTCGTAAGAGGAGCAAATCCGAGAGTGGGTAAGTGGCTAGTACCAGCAGAACCCCTGTGAGTATGTGGCGTGCCTCCCACTGGGCCTGGGTGACAGGCTGTATTGATTTGTTACTTTCCTTGTGCTGTTTCTAGCTTTCGTTTCAGAGGTTCCTGGTTCAGTTCACATATTCTTTCTACATACTGACTTCCAGAAACAGCAGCTAAGGCAGCTGTTGCCCTTTGTGTTGGAAGCCAGTGACTGGCCGCCTCGCTGCTTCAAAAGGTTTGAATCCTGGGTGTTACAACAGAGTCTGCTGGTGCTTAAGACTGAAAGCCTCGGGTAATTTCAAGTTTTATCTGGTCTGAACTGAGTCTGCGAGAAGGCAGATGCGGGGTTGCATGTTGGTGCTCTCTGCTCCCATCTGGGGTCACACATCTCAGTAGGAGAAAGAAGCATCGAGTTTGCAGGGAACCAGGGGTGAGAAAGAGCTGGTGCCTCACCAGAAAAGCCACTTTTGATGTAGGGTGGTGGAATACAGCACTGAAAGTTTGGGAACCGTAGGACTCGGGAGTAAATGAAGCCAAGCTGTGTTCTCATTTCCGTATCTGAATATAACATTTTTTTTTTTTTTTCCAGGTAAATTGGAGAATTGGGCTTTTCCTGCTGTCACCTGGTCAGGCAGGCAAGGTACAACTGACACGACCAGGCTTGAGGGGCCTGTTCAGTCACAGCGATCTGCACAGACGGGCGGCTCAGCCAGCGTTAGATGCAAGTCCTCCTCTCAGGAGGGAATGTGCAAGGTAGCAGAGCTCTGTGATGAACTGGCCGGCTTGGTGCTGGCAACTGAGAGAAGTCTTCTAGGAGAAGTGTGTGAGGAGATCCACTGCTGTGGATTCCTTCAGCCCTGCAAGGAGGACTGCTGTTGCTGCTGGAAGTTATCAGCATGAGGTTCTCGGTTGGATTTTTTTTCTTTTTAGCCATGATGTACTTTTTGGTTTTTTCTATATGTAGGCTGCTCAGAAGCTTTGTAAACCACATTGCTGGTCTACAGACAAGCTACAGCGGGGCTTGCAGACCTAGTCTATTTTAGTTCCACGGATGTACAGACTAGAGAAACATCACGTCTATCTTTAGGTTAGATTTTTTTGCTATGTGGGGAAATCGTGATCTGACAGTCTTCCTGTGTCTGGGGTGTTTGCAGTTTCTCTAACCGATATAGACTCTGACAAGTTCAGTAGCCATTGAACTTGCCACCCTTTGGGCATTTATGAATGTCTCTCTGTCATCTATTTTTTTCAAGGAATTTTTAAAAATGTAGCGTATTTGAAAAATGTTTTACTTCTGTCAGATACAGTTGAAATTAAGTTTCACAGTCGAGAGAAAAAGGCAAGAGAAAGACACAAACACGACTGCATAAATTCATTAGCCTTAGAGAACAGGCTACAGAGGGCAAAACAGAGCTTTGATTAGTGTGATGGATTGAGCTAGTCTGCAGACTTTTATTAGCATTGAGTTTAATGCTACTTGAGGCCAAGAAGTCTTTGAGGGTTGTTGGAAGCTGATCAGGGAAGACGTGACCCCAGGGAGAAGATGCTTCGTTAATAGCAAGGGAAATGTGTACTCAGCGTTTCCAGCCCTAAGATCCATACGTCCCCTCCCTGGAATCAGTGGGGATGTGGCCCCCACAAATCCGTAGCCGCTCTGTTGTGAACATTCCCCTGCACGTGGATCCCAAATGGCAGGAGAAGGGAGTGCCTTGTTTGCGGCTCTGACTCCTCGCAGCTACCAGGAACAGCAGCAATAACTGGAGCAAAGCAGGGCTCCTTTCCTATGGCTGGAGGCTGCTGTATCAACAGGGAGGTTTTTTTCTGAAATAATTCATATTTCTTGCAAAAAACACTCTGATTCTCTTCTCCCAGTCCCTTTCCTTCCCTCGCTTGCCTATTCCATAACAGCAAGCGCGGCAACAGCTTTTTTGTCCACCTTGCTTTGTTGCCATTTACAGCCTGGAACAAGCAACGGTGGGTTCACTCTTGCTGTTTTCTGACACGAGCTTCAGCAAGGAGGGGGGGATCCTCTGAACGCCTTGTCCATGCCATGGCTGAAGCAGCTGGAAGGTCCGAAACATGAAGCCACGGAGAACTGTGGGGTGGCCTTAGGGACCGCAGTCTGGGCTCTGTCCCCCCCGCTGCAGGGAAAGCTGCTTTGAGCAAGGAAGCCTACATCTTCTACCTGGGGAGCAGTCCTGGGGTAACAGTGCCCAATCCCCCACCCCCAACGTGTTTGTGTTACAAGCAGGAACTTAAAGCGAATGAAGGCCCAAAAATAAAGATTAAATTAAATACATATTTTAAACTGCTGATGAAGACACTGGATCTGGAGGGAGACATCTCTGTCTAGACTTGGGGGATGGGGGGGGTATATGTGAGTGGCTGTGGGGGCACGACAGCAGTACTTGCATGCTTTGACGTGAAAGGATTCCTTTAGAAGTATTATCAGCAGGGGAGGCAGGACTGCCCTGTCCGTCCGACTGACGGACGTGCCCGGCTGAGCCCCGCAAACGGGGGGGATGTGGCAGTGGTGGGTCTTGAAACGTGAAGCGCTGGGCCATGGCCAGGCTGTCCCTGTTCTGCAGGGAGGGGGGCACGGTGAACAGTGGCCACTCTTCTGTCTGGGTGAAGAGGCGGCGTGATGTCAGTGCGGGGGCGGCTGGATGATGATGATGATGATGATGATGATGATGATGCGGAGCGCTCTGTGCTGTCGGCGCAGCGGGATAGAAAGGCGGCGAGAGGGTGCACGGTTTTATCTGTGCTTTCAGACAGAAATAGCCAAAGGAAATTAACTCTTAATGTCGTTAACTTTGAAGCACTCTGCATGTTTGACAAACTTTTTTTTTTAAATAGTTTCCCTCCTTCTGCCCAAACCTGCAGTGGCTCGTACCTGCATGCGTTCTTCGTGGCTTATCACATGTCCTTTTGCATCTGTTGCAACCTCTGCGCTTCAAATCAGGTGGACCCCTCTGCAAGAGGGAATGTGCCCTCCCCTCAGACCTATTGCATTGTGGTGGGTTGACCCCAGCCAGCACTTAAGTACCCACACAGCCACTCAGGCCCCCCCCGCCCCAGTGGGACGGGAGAAAAGAGGAAGAGCAAAAATGAGCAAACTTGAGGGTTGAGGTAAGAGCAGTTTAATAAGTGAAGGAAAAAGAAAAAAGTGATGCAAGGGCCACTGGCCAGGAGGCTGATACCCAGCCACTCTGAGCAACGGCTACCTTGGGAGACAAAACTCCCCACCCCCTTGTTCCTCTTCCCAGCTTTTACTGCCAAACAGGACGTTACATGGTGTGGAATTGGGTAGTTTGGGTCAACTGTTCCACCTTTGTCCCCTCCCAGTCTCTCCCCCACCCCCAGCCTACCTGCTGAGGGGCAGCTTGGGAAACAGAGAAGGCCTTGATGCTGTGCAGGCACTGCTCAGCAAAAGCTAGAATGTTATTGACACTGGTTTAGTCACAAATCTAAATCACTGCACCATCTGTGTTGTTATGAAGAAAGTTAACTCTATCCCAGCCAGACCCAGTACGTGGTGGGAAACTTCAGCATGCAGCCAAAGTAATGAGAAATATTTCCTTCTTCTTTTTTTTTTTTTTTTTTCTTAAGGCAATCCAGAAGAGAGAGCTCATAGCCTTTATTGTGAGCCTGCGAGGCGCAGAAAGCTGCTGGTCTGAGTCAGCCTGTGGGAATGGACACAGTTTACCATGGCCTAGGGAGGGATAGTATTTATTTACACTTTTTTTTTTCTGTTCTTCCTTATTCAGCAGGTCTGAATTCCCAGTTGATGTAAATTCTGGGAAATGATGGAAATTGCCAGCATGGTTCAAATGTTGCCAAACTCGGTGCGCTTTTTTGATAGGATACAAAATGGACGTATTCTTCTAGGAATAGGTGTTTTCCAACTTGCAAAACAGTGTGTGCTTGGCTCGGAATATGATTATTCCATTTTTGGAATAAAGGGTCTTCTACCAAGGAAATACACCAGTTTGAAGTGATTAAACTGGCAAGGATTCTGCTAAGACCAAGTGCTCCAAAACCTGGGGGAAAGCTGAGTTTTTGGAGCACGATAGGTTAGCGTGCAGAGGAGAAGTGACTAACGTGTTTGTTCCATCCGGTTCCTTCGGCGAGAAGCCGTCTCCCTGGAAGCATTCCTGCGTGGAGCAGGAGAGTGCTGGGCTGCCTCTCCTGGACACCAGTCCATCGTGCAACAGGGGCTTGAGATGAAAGATTAGGGAATACACTCGGAGTTAAAAAAGGAGTGAGTGAAGTGTAAAGTGCAGCGTTGCCATGATCCATACTTCGGAAATTTCTTGTAAGCTTTAGATGACAGCTTAAAGCATCCACACTGTCTTCTCGTTTGCAGCACACGTTTCACCTCTCTTTATCCTGATTCTTCACCTCCAGAAGTCACGGAGCAGCCAGCCTTCCTCACCTGCCCCTTCCCAGTCCTCTGTGCATCTCAAGCTCCAGCAGTGCTTTCCCCCACCGAGCTCCTCCTGAAGCCTCTGACCCCTGGAATCTCCCCCCTAGACTCAGGCCTGCATGAGGACTTTCTCTAAAGTAAGGAGGGAGAAGCAGCAGCATGGCTGACGTTGCTGTGGTAGAAAAGCTTGTTGTACTTCGGGGTTGCACAACCCCCCCCCCCTTTCATCCTCTGTACTTCATTAACAAATTCCCAGTCTCTCATATATTTTGGTATAGACTCCGGTTTGAATTGGGGGTAGAGAGAACTTCACGGTGGGAAGTTAAGTCTGGGGACTCTGTGGGGTGCTATCTGATGCTAACTTCACTTTAAATAGCTTGCTTTGTTATTTTATTCCCTGCTTCGTGCCAGACTGAAAGCTTGCAGCTAAGTGGAAAGGACACAAAGGGGAGAATTCATTAAAGATAACCTTGGAGTTGCCGTGCCTGGGAGGGGCTGGGGCCACTCAGGTTAGATTCTCTGCATCTCAGCAATTACTCCTGAAGTCAGGTACCTGCACCGAGCCCTTGCCCGGGAGAATCCCTTTCCTTTCCCAGGCTTTGCACTGAATTCAGCTCTTGCGAGCACCTGCGTCCTTGCCCCAGCAGGAACTGCAGAAGTGCCAGGCCACACAGGTTTGGGGGGCTCCCTAGGTAAGCATGGAGACAGCAGAGGAGGCAACAAGGCAGCACTTCAGTTGAGAGGAATGGTTTTTTTTTTTTTCCTTTTCCCCCAAGAAGAATTGGATTGATTTGTTGACATAAATCTGAACGAGCAGGCACATCTGAAATGTATTGGTTTATATTATGTATTCTATATTCCAGGCTAGATGATACAATTTTGCAATTGATTGTAGGAAAGCAAACGAATAAGCCCTTTAAAAAGGAATCTGTGGTAATATAGCTGGAATGAAGCTTGCTGTTACAAACTCTACTAAATAATGGCAACCTGTTTATTTTATCAAAAAAGCTTTCTTTCTATAACACTTTATATAGAGTGTACTACTAAGTAACGATAATTAAAAAAAGTCACGTTGCTTTCTTCGGAGTCTGGCAGTTCCTTTACTCTTGCTGGTTTCTGTTAACAGAAGGCAAGCGGGGTCGTTCGGACTGAGGGAGGACTCGGCCTCGCCCGGTGCCGCCCTGCTGGCACCAGCTGTAGCAGGATAAATGCCATTAGTAATCGTCATAGTTGACACCGGCTCCGTGCCTGAAGGTGTGTGGATTTCGTGGGCCAATTGGTGAATCTTCATCATAGTGGTGGTGGTAGTACCCGCCGTAGTATTCGTTGCGAGAGCGCCCTAAATTTGTCCAGTAGGAGATGTCATCTTCGAATTTCTGCCCCAAAAAAAAAAAAAAAGAAAGAAAATACTTGCTTTCCAAGCCAGAAACTTTACAGCAAGGAGAGTAAAACAGAAGAGGTGCAAGAAGAACCTTTTGTCTCTTTCAGAAATTCAGCTCCTTTGCATATTTGTCAAAACGAAATCTTTAGATCTAAGGGGTTTTGTGGCTTGTACATACCTTCTCTATGGGTTTATCAGGGCCCCAAGTGCAGAAATTGTCACTGGGACCCACCCTCACTCCCTCTGCCCACTGCAAAGTGCTTAAACTGAGAGCGCCGGCAACTGAAACATGCACCTGAGCACCTTTAGTATTTCTTTTCACCTTTTCAGTGGTGGACTATAACGTTTTGTACTTCACAATCTAAAGGTTTGGTTCTCCGCTGCTCTGATGTCCCTGAGTCAAAGTGGGTGCAACAGGCTTTCGCCTTATTCCCATGCTCTTTCATTCCCATTTTGCATGGGCAAAAATGAATGTACAGCACAGCCTTCTAGCTATGGAAATGCTGTAAGCGGTTCAATTCTGCTCACAACGGCAGAGGGAAAACAGTGTGCAAGGATATCAAATACTTGCCAAGTCAAAGCCTTTCCCTCTGAATGACTCTTTGGAAATATTTTTGGCTGAGATTTGAAAAAAAAGTTTTTCAAAATACACAGTGGGTAAGTATGGCCCAAGTCCTTTGCTGGAACAAACAGTTATTTCATTGTTAAAACTATGTCTTAATACTCAAGAAGACCTACTAAGTGGATTCATTGTATCCCACAACAGGCCTTATTTCAGTTTTTGAAATGCACACAGGAACTCGTGAGGAGAATTCATCTTATCTGCATGGTTTGTCCTTGTTACCTCCTGGTATTTGCCCCCAGTCTTCAGTTTCTGATGCACAAAGCCACTTTTCCTATTTTTCCTATCGCTACTGGGGGGAGGGAGGGTGATATAGCCATGCTGTTAAAAAGCCATTTTTATCTGCATAATGTCCAGGAGCAACAAAAAAATGGAACCTTCGTTCTTTCAGTCCAAGCAAAGGATTATGTCTTTAATCGTTCCAGCTTTGAAAATGAGAGCATTCATCTTGCAAGCAATCCACTGAGCATGAAGGTCCAAAATGTACTCCAGCTTGCCTGTGCCAATGCAATCTCGTTAAACGTATTCACACAGCTGACACAAGCCAAGAACTCAACATCTATAACTATTTTTGCCTCTTATTAATGTAGAAATTATTCTACATATGGGACTGCAACTGAATGCACATTTTTCGCCCTATTTCAGCAGCTATTTAGCAGAGCTTTGTGCAGAGCTGGGAACTCTTGACTCCACTCCAGCGTTTTTACAAATTAACTGGTTTTAAAAAGAAAAAAAAAAAAAAGTATCCTTCTCATTTGAAGGGAGGGTGGCTGCAGGCTATCCAACGGTTTTCCTTTCCCACTGAGAGTCACAGCACCGATGCCGGTGCTCGCCACGGTCAGGAGTGGCCCTCGCCGTGGGGGCACACGCATGCATCAGGTACCTAATGTTAGTGCAATTTCGCTGAGGAATGCCAGTCACGGCCAGCTTGGTGTGGGTTTCTCAGCATGTTAAAAAGCAAATTGATTGGGCTGAGGCTGCCAAATTAATTTCCTGAAATACAATTGATTGCTTTGGGTCCGGCCCCCTATTTCTCAAAGCAAACTTTGTTTATACGTCCATTTGCAATTCATTAAGCTTGAGTGCGGTAGCAGGCAGGAGCCCCACGCAAGGTTTATAATGTCATTTTTTTCCAGCAGCAGAATAGTGCAGAAATCCTGAACAAGTAACAGAGCTTCGATTTCTGTGCGATACTTGCTACGTTAAAAAAAAAAAAAAAAAAGAAATCCCGGCGGTGCCCGCGAGCAGAAGCAGGGCAGCTTCTCCCTGGGTGCCCCCGCAGCCGCTCGTGCCGAAGCCCTGCCAACCCTTGGGAGCAAGCCTTGCACTCACCGCCTCATCGAAGCCCAGGTAGAGGAACTGCTGGTACCACTGCTGCACGTCAGGCTGGCTCCTGTCCCACAGCTGGCGCCTCTGGCGTCTCAAGCTGCTCAGGAACTCCTTGGCCGCCGCTTCTTTCACCGACACCTCGGGCTTCGTGGCAACAGGGGCTGAAATTAATCCCCACACCCCACCCCACCCCCCCAAAAAAAAAAAAAAAAAAAAGGCATGCCAGGAAATTTTTAGTCTGCCTGAAGCGTACTGCTTGCAGCAAGTAAGAAAACGCTTCTCGCGTCACGCCATCCCCTTTGTGCTTGGCAAGGCCATGTGTGTAGCAGCAGTACCAGTAATAAACCCAGGAATCGTCGATGTGATAGGGTTTCTCAGCTACCCTCATGCTCTTGGATTTTCGAAAAGCTGTTCTGAGCTCAAAGACAGAAGCTGAGTGAGGAATTTAAATAAACAAACCCACACTCAAAGAGCATGTACACAGTGCGTTTGGGCTTTGAGGCGAGGAGACTGGCCCCTGCGTGCTGCTGTTGCAGAAATGGGAGTGAAGATGAGGAGTGAAGTTAAAAAGCCTGAAGGAGCTGGAGAAGCACTGCTAACTTATTAGGGTGAAGGGGGGGGTGCACATGAAAAGGTAGGTTTTTCAATCTGTTGTGTAAAAATACAGCTTTTAAATAACGGGTGCTACTAAATGCCCTGTGTGCCTGAAAATAAGAGCCCATCAGACTTTGATAGCACACTGCTTGGTGGATGCGTGGGAATGCCCTCGACCTGCCAGACCCAGGCGTGCCATCTGGCTTGCCCCGTGCCTAAGAGGCAGGCAGTGTGCTGTGGCTGCTAGAGGAATTTATGTTCCTCCGAAAGGTATGGATGGGAGGATGGGCTAGCCCCCCCCCCCACGCACTGGAATGAGAAAACGTGGTATGATGTTTGTTCTTCCTGTGAAACAAGAAGCACGTGTAGGAGTAGGAGGAACGCCTTGGCTTCAGGGGGTCCATTGCGATGAGGGAGACACCAGAAAGGTGAGTGTGGATGGGGATTTTCGGAGGGTGCGAGGGAAGAGGCTGGGGCACGCAGGGAGGTCAGGTGGAGATGCGAAAACCGTGGAAGTGGGAGCCGGGCAGACTCGCAGCGGGAAGGAGATTCAAGAGGCCGAAGTGACAGATGAGTTGTCGCAGGAAGAGTGGGGACACAGCAGGCTGCCCTGCCGTGATGAGCTGCGAGCTGATAACCCACCGTGCGCCTGGGCTGGGTGTTATCCCTGGATCTGGATATCCATATCCCTGGATCTGGATATGGATATCCATATCCCTGGATCTGGATATGGATATCCATATCCCTGGATCTGGATATGGATATGGACAGCTATCTATGGACAGCTGCACGAACGTCAAGAGAATGAGCCTTGCAGAGGGGACACTGCCAGCAAGGGAGCCAGTACCGCGCGCTTAGCCCGCCCGTGTTAGTGCACAACTGGAAAAGGGGGAGTTAGGCTGGAATGAAGGGGCTGCCTCTGCCCTCCATCATCACCTGGAGGCTTTGCAGTTCTTCCTGGTGTGGGCCGTGTCGCCTGCGCGCTCTAAAAGCCTCCCCGTGGGCATTGCCTCCTCTCACCGGGGGACCTGAGCAAACGCTGCTGGCTGCACGCCGGCACTGCGGAAGGGTGAGGTGGGGAACCCACGCGCAAGGAAAACACCCGTGGATGGGCACACATTTTCAGGGCTGGCAAGAGGCGGCGGGTGATGCCAGGAGGAAGCCGGTGAGAAGTTAGGCAGGCTTGCAGAAAGCGGGAGAGTCCCAGCTCGGGGCGGGAGGGTAAATCCTTTGCCTCAGCCATAGAGCAGGCTGAAGGGAGGCAGCCAAAACTTACGGGGCGTTTCAGCCTGCCCCCCATCTGCTGCAGTGCTGCTTCTCCTCAGGTAGCTCCATTTCCATCCCCTTCGCTCAACCAGTGGGCCATGCGGTGCATCTGCCCCGCCGGGCCCTTGGCCACCACCTCTCCTGTAGAGAGAGCAGTCTTCCAAAAAGGAAAGCGCACATGGGGCCAAAAGGACAAAGGGAACAAGTCAAGGCATCATGAGCAAGCCCGGTTTGCACCTTTTCATCTCTGCACCTGAGCAGTATTTCCACATGTTTCAATTCCTTGAAAAATCTCCTGACTTCCCAGAATAAACCAGATGAACGCCACGCCTGCCATGCATACACTGAGAAAAGTAAGTGATGTATGCAGAGCAAAACGCAGGTGTGCTACCTGAGGGTGGGAGCCCTGGGTTTTGGCGGGGGGCTGTGGCACGCGGAGCCTCCAGCCTTGCCAGCACCAAGTCCCAAAAGGACGCGGAGGCGCAAGCTCTGGGGTTTTGAAGTACAGTGTGGAAGCAAGAGCAACTGGGAACTGGGTGCTTGTATGCTGCTCCTCTGAGGGCCCTCCCGGGGCTGGGGACAGAGTGACAACACGCTGGCAGCTTTGACCGACAGCAACTGACTCAAAGGAAAAACAAAGGAAAGCAATTTGCTGTCTCTTCACTCACCTTCGCGTTTCCGAAGCATCAGTTTAAGCTTATTTCCCCTTGACACGTCTAGACAAGTCAAAATAAAACACATACATTTACTACACGGGAAATAACAACAACAACAACAAAAAGATTGTTTTTCAAAAAATACTGAAAGTATTTTTGTCACAGCTCCAGCCCAACGGGCAAAACTCTGTGGCGAGTTCCTCCCAGCACCTCCCTTTGCTCCTGTTTCCACGCCCCAGTGCAACATACGCTCCAGGGAAGCTTTTGATTCTCCAGCATCTTCCCCAGGGCTCCTCTCATCAAGGAAACCCTGAAACTGGCCTTCCTCGCTCATTAAATTATAATATTTTGCAGCAGAAGACCACAGCCGGTGCCAGTACCGTGACACAGCGTCCAGGGCGGCACGGTAACTCTGGAAAACCCTTGTCACGGAGTGAGGGGCACGCTAACAACCAGACTGCTTCAAGATTCTTCCTCGCAGCCTGTCCCAAAGCACATTGAAGCCATCGTGCTGCCGAAACCCTTTCCCGGAGGCATCCCAGGCGTTCGGGATCCCTATAACAGGATCCTGGAGACCTGCAGGTGCTCGGCTGCTCCAAAAGGCTTTATTTATGCTCGAAAACGAGCTCTTTTAAGAAGATGCTCAATTTGCACAGGTTTGGGGAGTGACCAAAAGCGTTCACCCACGCGGCCACGTGTGGTGACAAGGGAAGGTTTTTTTCCCACTCTCCAGGACGTGTCAGCTCATGTTTTCCCACCCCGCAGCCCCAGCCCGGCTGCGGGCGGTCACTCACCGGGGGCCGCGCAGAGCAGCGGGAGGAGGAGGAGGAGGAGGAGGAGGAAGGCGGCCCCGGGCAGGGCCCCGCGGGGGCTCGGTGGTGGCATGGCGCGGCGACCCACCTGGGAGGGAGGAGATGGAGAGGGTGAGGATGGAGCCAGAGCTGGAGCAGGGAAGGGACACGCTCGCCCGCCCCAGCCCGGCCCGACACCACGGGGAGGGGCGGGGAGTGCGGCCAACCCCAGGGCCTTTGCCTTCCAACACAGGGTGAGATATGTTTCGGTAGGACAAGGCACCCCTCTTTGTTTGGTGTGGCACAGTCTGCCAGTTCCCAGCAGAGCAGCTTGGGGTTTTTTGTTTTTTTTTTTTTTTTTTGTTTTGTTTTTTTTTGTTTTGTTTTTTTTTTGTTTTTTTTTTTAGGGTGACACCTAATCCAGTGCAACTGGTCAAGACCTTTCAGCGATTCATGCAGGCTTGTCTTACAGGGAATTAAAATAAATAAATAGCTGTAGCACGTCGTTTAACATTTCTCCGCCTATCAAGCCAGTTTGTCAGTTGCCTGCAACAGCAGATGAAAATCGAGAGCTTGGCTTGGTGGGGAAATGAAATCTGAATCAATCAAAGGTGGCTCAGTTCTGTTTTTTTCTCCCTCTCCCCTCCCTCCCTCCCTATTTCCCTCCCACTCCTCAAGTCCGCAGAAAGCCACAATGCATTTTAACTGATCAGCTTTAAAAAATAATTTGGATTTCTTTTTCTTTATATAGACAGCTTTAGTTTATAGTAAGAACTCAGGGACCAAAAGCCAAACTCACAAACTAAAAGCCCGTTCTCAGCAGGATCATAACCATAACGGTGCCTAAGCTCACTCTGCCTTTTCCTAATTCAGATTTAAGCTTCTCTTGGTGAATTCAGCTTCTCTCAGCTCCTTCCCCTGAAAATGCCAGAAACACCCCAGATGAAGCCTAGTGAAATCTTTGCCCGTCCTCGGCCACACACCTCTCTCTTCCGTTGCTGCAGAGACCCACGGCACTCAGGAGACCGTCACGGGCGTCTCGCCTCCTGCTGAAGCTGTGCCAGGGTGCAGCGAGGAGCACGGGAGGGATTTAGGGGGAGGCGAGGGCGGGAGAGCCAGACTCCCTCTGTAACCTGCTTGTGAGAAATCTGGCAAGCACGGGGGGCCTCTGCTCCCTGATCCAAGGACTGTTTCCAGATGAATACGTACACACTAGCTGTGTATACTGTATATACTGTAATTGTGTACAAATACGTACACTGAAAACATGTGTGTATATACACACACACACACCTGCATGGTGAGGGAGCCGGGCGGTGGGGTGGCAGCTCCCTGTGATGAGATGTGGAGCCCGTCGGTGCCATTTCAGGCACGGATAATTGTAGGGGTGTGACAAGACCCTATAGCTGGCTTTACCACTCACCATAAAACACAGAAGCAGCACCAGCATGGGCTGGTCCCTCAGCAGTTCCCCAGGCCCAGCCTGAATTGTCACTTCAGGTGGCTGCTCCTGATTGCCCCATGCATCTTTCCCCTTGTGAAAAAAGTACTTGGAGCTGTACCCAAAGCCTTTCCCCTGCCTCCCTCCATCTCCCCAGCACCCTCAAGCTACTGCTCAGGCGTCTCTGCTCATCCCAGTTGAAGCAGCAATAGCTTGAAAAAGCGGTGTGGTTGCTCCAGCCAAAGGGCACCGTGCTCTCTGCAGGGGAGTGGGGGAAGAGCAGGAGGGAGCAGCACTTTCCAGCCCCCCGTGATGGAAGCACTCCCGCAGGAGGCTGGTGTCCCAGCTCAACTCCCATGAAACCGGGAACTAAAATTACTTTGTCCTTCCTGTCACTGCTTTTGAGTGCTTTTTCCCCATAGCCCCATGTTTCAAGTGTCAGCCGTGTGTTGGAGCAAATGCTCCTTCTTCTGAACCAACGCACTCTTTCATCAGCTTAACGTTGATGACCTCTTTACTAAAACCACCTGAGGTTTTTGGATAGCTGGTTGCAGAAGTAGCAAGAAGGGACAGAACAGCTAGAAGGGACAGAAGCGAAGAGCACGCATGTAAGGCAGCATGAAACAGCCATGATGTAGATAATTTATAAAACCGGGGTGAAGACTCATGAATTTTTATGGTCTACTGCTCTATTAGTAATGGCAAAGGGCGTTTTGTTCAGCTGGTTGGTGTGTGAGAAGCTTGCATGGGAGCTGGGGCTCTGCAGAACTTCAGGCAGTTGGTGCCTCTGGGCCAAGGGAATACAAAGCACAAAACCTCCTCCAGATACTAAATATATCCCGATGACTCAAGAAACTGCTGAGATAAAATGCTACCTGGCAAAGCCCAGAGAAAGGATTGACTCAAGTGCAAGGTTATTGTAGAAAATCATCACTCTAGTGGTGGAAGAAGTGATTGACAGAAGAATATAATGCTCAGGGTTAAACTGAGTGCAGTATCTTCCCAGAAGAGGTCACTTTCTCAGTTCAGGGCACAGAAGTTTTTGATATCAAGTAAAAAAGTTGTGTAAAAATACAACACCCCTTCTTTTCAAAGGCAGTGGTGAAAGGTGACTGGTGTTTTTCCAGTAGCAATCTTTATTTCTGTTCCAGGTTGTTTTAAGGACTAAGTCAGCATTGCCTTGGTGGTGTAGTAAGGTGTTTTTATTTTTCTGCTGAGCTTGCACCTACTGCACCATTATTAGAAGTGTTGGCCTTCAGATGAGTTTATTGACATGCCTGCGGTACCCCTTTCTGCTATTTGCCATGTAAAACCACAGCTGCCGTGTGCGTGGCTCAGATACTGCAGCGGGGTTTTTTCCTGGGATCTCTCGGTCAGCAGTGACATCGCTCTTGTTAAACCATTCCCTTCTTCAGCATGGAGGAATTTAAGTCCTGTCTTAGGGCTTGGTTTGCCTCTGCTGGCACGCCAGTGCTGGGAGCTCTCTGCTGGCATGGCTGCTCAGCATCCCCAAGGGCTCTGGGTAAGCAAGTCTGCGCTGATGACGTAACCCAGTTAAACGTCTTTCACCACCTCTGGTGACAATGGTAGACTCTCGTCGTCAAAATTTTGTTGGAAGATGCTGATTAATTTTGTCAGCAGGATTGTTTCCCAGACAGCTGCGGGATGAGGAGGAGCGGTGAGCAGGGCCCCTTTCACGCACCGTGTAAAACTCCGTCAAGTCCCTTAAGCGTAATGGGGACCACTAACGGGCAGGATGCCCACGGCGGGATAGCAGGATGGAGCTGGCAGGTTTTGCTGCTTCCCCAGCGTGGGTCTGGGTTATGGTCTTGCACGCTTGAGTGTTGAGGCAGAAATCTGAGAGCAATCCAACAGAAAGCCACTGAGAGCCTGACCTTGAGAAACAACAGGCAGGAGCCAGGCAAGGAGCTCACTGAAGCCAGAGAAATTCCGATTGCTGCCGGCCAACGTTGTCTCCGAAGCCTGCAGGACTCTGTGTAAGTCTTTTGGGGGTAAGCAGATAAGTTTCTAGCTTATTTTGTAAAGAAGTTCTGCGATTCACTGCATGCTTGGCGATTGCTTGGGTGACCCCATTCCCCCTGGGTGATCTTTGAGTTTACACATAGTGTTTTTAAGCCCGGTGGCTTCTAAAACTGCTTAAAGTGGTGTGGGCATGTGTGGCTGTTTAAATGATCTGAACTGAACCATGGGGAAAATCTTGGCCGTGAAGAATCACTGAATTTTTAAGTGTCTGAATTCCTTTATTATTATTGTACATTTTGCCTAAAGTTAAGCACAGAGAGATTCCTGAACAGCAGAGAGACACCTCTGCTTTTGCATCTCATCACAGTAGCTGTTGAGAGAACTGTGTTGTATTCATTAAAATGTAAGAGATAGCATCAGTAATGACCATTCAAGGCTATTCAGAAATTCAAAGCACAAAAAATTGCGTTAAAAAGATTAATCTTGGTTTCTTTCTTTCTTCCTTTATTAAGCTTCATGTTTTCAAGTGTTTCAACACAATAGTGATTTTAGATATAGCGTAGATGTATTGGATTTGCTTGTGGCAGGGTTTTGGTACAGGGGGAGGGGGCTACAGCCGTGGCCCCTGTGAGAAGCTTCTTGAAAGCTCCCCTGGCTCCAAGTTGGCCCCACCTCCGGCCAAGGCCGAGCCAGGTAGTGACAGTGGCTGCACCTCTACAAGAAGGTGTTTAAGAAGAGGGGGAGTGAGGGAGACACCTCTGCAAACACCGAGGTCAGTGGAAGAAAGGAGGAGGAGGAGGAGGAAGCAGGGAGAGGTGTGCTGGAGAAGAGACTCCCTTGCAGCCCATGGTGAGAGGGCGGGCTGCCCCCTTGCAGCCCATGGAGGTCCATGGTGGAGCAGATGCCTCCCTGCAGCTCGTGGAGGTCCATGGTGGAGCAGATGCCCCCCTGCAGCCCGTGGAGGACCCCACACCGGAGCAGGTGGCTGTGCATCAAGAAGGCCAGGACTCTGAGGGAAGCCCACACCGGGGCAGTTTGTCACTGGGAGGATTGTGACACACAGGGGGGACCCACGCTGGAGCAGTTTGTGAAGAGACGCAGCCTGTGGGGAGGCCTCATGACAGAGAAGTTCATGTCTCCCATGGGAAGGACCCCACACTGGGGCATGTGATGAACTGACTGTAACCCCTATCCCCTGCCCCCCTCCACACCATTGCTGGGGGGGAGGTAGAGAAATTGGGAGCAGAGCTGAGACTGGGAAGAAGGGCGGGGTGTTGAGAGGTGGGTTTTTTTAAGATGTGATTATATTTCTCACTGTCCTACTCTATTTGATTGATGGTGGTGTTCAGTTTAAATTTATGTTCTTTCTTTCCAAGTTGAGTCTGTCTTTATTTCCCTATGACCGTAATTATTGAGTGACCCCTCCCTGTCCTTGTCTCGATCCCTGAGCTTCTGTTCTATTTTCTCCTCTCCATCCCACTGCAGGGGGGAAGGAGTGAGTGGGCAGCCGCGTGATGCTCAGTTGTCCTCTGCACTTAAACCACGACAGTAGATTAAATGCTTATATAATCACAGGACTCCCAAAGCTGGATTTTCAAGGGAAAAAAAAACACCAAATATAACAAGATTGTGGCAAAATACTGAGGCCCGGAACCAGCTTACTAACTTAGTAGGCAAATAGATAA